ATATATATATATATAAAGCTGACAGCCGTCGAAGCCACCGGTTTCTTCTTTGTTTTAAACACGTTCACGTTATCCTTTTTCTACATCCCTGTTTTTAAATTATATGAATATCTCCTCTCGCACTAGTCGTTATACCTCTGATATATCGGCTGAGTCGCACTGGAGTTTTGTAGGTGAGTAGCCTAGCTAGTAACTACAGGGCACAATACGAATAAGATGGGTTCCTTCATGACGGCTGGCGGGTTGTCAGGCAGTGCGCCTTTTTGGACCAAAGCGCTACAGTGCGACGAGGGACAAGAACAGAATCCACACATTCAACAGTTTGTCCGACCAGATTGCCCGTGCCTCTTCAAGTGCTATGCAGTGTTGTGAGTGCGGAGAGCACATTTTCTTTGTGCTCGGTGAGATGGCCCTCTTAAACAGGCCTATAGACCATGTGTCATTGACGTTGCTAGCAATCATGTCGAACCGCATTTCGGATAGCCCATCTTGTGGCCGTTTGCAGTAATTCATTGCCCAATATCTGTTTCACCCTTGCATGTACATCCAAGAGTCTCCATCATTGTGCTTTCTTTGTCGGTTTTGTTTGGTTTTGGGGTGCTTGTTGTCTTTGTGTTTTTTTGTTATTTGGCTCCCTTTCATGTTGGAGACTCTACAAAAAATTGCACAAACTGACCTGTGCACTTCCTGCATGAATGGCGGCTCGACTCGTGCAAAAAAACAGCTTCCACACATTCAAGTGTACACATCAGTAACCTAGAAAAAGTGAACACGCCGCCTCAAACATGGGCAGTCGCCCGTCGGAGTCCATCAAGTCCTGTGCTACTTCTAACGTGATTACATTTCGACCTTTAATTTTCAATTGAAGTGGGTGCAGGTCTACCAATCGAATCGGATGGTGCCTCTGTCTTCATTTTGCACCGTCGCCTGTGGACTTGCTCGCAGCTACAGGATTTGGTGACACAGTGTTCATTTCAAAAGTCTGTTTGTGATAGCACCGTCCAGGTCAAATTATGTATTACCTCTTTGAGGGAAACACAGGAAAGCAGACCCACATCCCAACTTTGCCGCTATGTATGGCGCCGGCAGAAGCAGACCCTGCTGACTATCGGCCAGAGGCATTGCTGGTGGAATTTTCACATGTGAGCAAGAGAAGATTGTCAACAGGTGATTTCGATAACCTTTGTGATTTGCAGAGCCTGGTGAATGCTTTTGTTGCAAGTAAATTGGCCAATGCCCAAGTTTGGCAAACCATACCGTATTAATATTATATAAATAATTGCTTGCCGGAACTGGCAAAGTGCCCATGGGTCTTTGCTACACTTGAACCCTTGGACCCGTCCCAGGCGGACGTTGAACGCTTGGCGCGTTATTTCGCCCAACGTTATGGGGGCGATGACAGCCTACTGGAAGCCCGCAAGGCTTTGGACCCGGAGGCCCTCAGTTGGCGCGCAGGGACAGTGCAGCATTTGACGATGCGTTTTAGTTCTGATGGTCAATATCTACTAAACACAATCAACAAAAATATTTTTCATCTCATTCGCCTGTCGGACATGTAGAGTGAAAATTTGTAGCCGTCAATGTCATGTGTCCTGTTTTGTTACCACATGCATTGAAAAATTGTTGCCTGCAACATTTTGCCTTGCTTTCCACTGTGTTTCAGAAAAGGTTGCGCGCATTTCAGCGCAACAATCAATGTTGGACGTACTTATATAGCGCAGCATATCGGAAACTTATATACGTTCCCACCTCAATGTTCCCAATGTGGCCTTGATGGTTTGTCTCCATGTGGTTTCGCCCCGGCTGCCTGGAGGCTAAATCTCTGACATATAAGGGCTTTCACACAGCATTCTACCTCAGCAATATCTAGAAATTTGGTCTTTGGACACTCCCACGCGACAGGTGTTTGCATGAACATGGTCAGTTGTTCGTCCAGGTCTCCTTTGATCTTCCAGCTTTTGAGCAAGCGCTCAAGAAGTGGGGTGTCAAGGCTCGCTGGGATGAGTGGATGGCTCGAATCAAAGGGTTCAAGCCTTGCACGACGCAGGATGCGCAAGGCTCCCGCAAAGTGAGCTGCTTCCAATTGCAAAGTGAGCGGCTTCCGTTAATGACAGCTGTACTTTCAAATGAAGGAAATGGTGCCGACAGGTCGACAATGCGGTGGAACTCTTTTCGCACATCGATGTGGACTTCAGTGGCAGCATCTCCGTGGAGGAGCGATGTCCAGCGGTAAGGCAACCATGTTTGGAGCCAGATTTTCAGTCTCAAAGATATAGCAACAAGAACAAGGGCATTTCTACTAGGAGCAAGAAGCTACTAGTAGCTCCTGGCATAACTACTAGTAACAAGGATGCTACTAGTAAGAAGGGCATTTCTACTAGGAGCCAGAAGGGCCTGTTCTCAGATCTGAGGAAACGATTCCACCCATGAACTTCCCATGGAATCATTTGTCCATGAACGCCTTTGCACCTTTGCACCATGAGCCACTGCAAAGACATGAACCGACTGGGCGGAAGCAGACGAACGTCTTACTTGGTGCTTTGGCCCCATTCCCTATGGATTCGTCGACTTCCAGGAGCTCTTGAATGTCCTGGGCTCCCCGGTGGAAGAGATCACACGGAGGGAGCACCAACGGCAGCGCCAAGAGGTGAAGAGGATCTTCGAGGCATCGGAGCCTTAAGAGACCGACCGAGAGACCCTGTCAATCTTTTCACTGTAGGCAGCAAGCTCAGTCACATCACTTTAGGGTCACAAGTCTGGGTGTTTCTTGCGATGTATACAGACGTCCCTGAAATAAAGAGAACACATACAGTACACGGTATGGACACTATGATGCAAAACGTTCCGAAACGACATTCGGAGTATACTGCATGTATTTTTTGTTCGGATCTATTTGTCACCATCTTATGATTGTCATGCATCATGCAATAATTCAATATGCAGACTGAGTGGCTGAGCGAACGTGACTGGAAGCTGTCAAACCTGAAGCACTTTAAAAAAGGTCAAGGTTGATGACCCTGTGAGGAATCGAACATTTACATTTCCGGCCGATAGCTGTCACGTGTTCTTGGCCGCGGGACAATCCTGGGCGGCTTTTTGCAGTGCGGGTGATGAAGATGTAGTGAGTGCTACTCAAGACCCTTTGTGTTTGCAACATGAACATCATCATTCTGCGGTTTGGTATAGAAGTGTTAGAACCTAAGGAAAAACAACATCATCACTGGGCAGCCTAGGTTTCTATGCGTTTCTTGCCTGTGGGACCGTCCAGCGACAGGGACTGGCACGCAGCATCGTTGAGAAGTTCGGCAGCATCGAGGCGCCTTGATCGTTCGATCCGCAAAGCGAATCCACATGGTATTTCGGATGGACTCTGAATGATGAGGATGTCCGTGTCATGAAACCATGAGGCGGGCATGAATAGGTAATGTCATGTCTGGAAACCACTGCCATGTCAAGAAGCCCAAGGAGTCATATCAGGAAACTTTGACTGGATTGCCTGGATATGGCATATGTAACATATGTATGTTTCTAATACAAAGGCTTCTTTTGCGACTTTTGCGATGTGCAGAGGATGCCTTTGCCAAGTACGGCCTACATGGCACTGATTCATCACTCAGTCTGGCACAGCACAAGCCTCAGGCTTGTAGTCTCTCTTCTGACTTGGCTTCGGAAGATCTTGCGATATACACAGTATGGTTAACATGAGATGACCCAGTTCGCCACTTGCTAAGCATGACAAGGTGAGTGGGCTTTTGAAGCAAATTTTGTCCCTTGATGTTAGTTTTTCAGTTTCCTTGAAACGAAACCCTTCTGACGAAACCCTACGGATTGTTGCCTAGTCAAAGATGGAAGTGGCAGTGACCCCTTGGAATTTGTTCGATAGCTGAGCCAAACTAATCAGAACGTAGTGCGCTGAGGTTGGGAAATCTGGCAAAGCGGCTGGACATCGAACTGGAGCCAGGGGTGTTGCAGCGCGTTTTCAACGAGATTGACGAGGCGGGTGGGTGGTTGTTGGCACACGTCAGGCGGAGAAGATGCTAGGACAGGCAACATACGTGCTGGGACCGGGGACCCCAAAGTGGGGTCCTAGAAGGTAGCGCTTCCGAATTTGTGAATGCTTGGAACGTGGGTGCACCCCGCTGAGAATTAGGATCTTCTCATTCGGCCCTGGTGACTGCTCGGGACTGCCCATCATTCGGCGATCCCTCGTGACGAATTGTTTTTGGTCACCCTGGGGTCCACCCTTTTGACACACATCGATGCACGTGCACTTGTATGTGCTAGGTCTGCGTGCCAATTCGTTTGTACTTTCTACCGGCCTATGAAGAGCTTTCTGTGCGCCCTGCCTTTGGACAAAGCTTGTCTCCTTGCTGCTTCTTGTGAACTTTTTGTCTTGGATGTGTGCACATCCAGTCCGCGCCACAGGGACAAAGAATTTATATAAGAAAGTGAGGAACCACTTGATCAACATAACGGACGTAGGGTAGATTAATGGATAGAATGACAGTACACTTGTAACTTGTAGATGAAGCCAAAACGGCCATGAGTTCTTCTTAGCTAACCGCTTGGTGACGTGAGTTTCTGCCTTTGTGCACGAAGAAGCTCACGATGAGGACAATACCAAGAGCATCTCCGTACAAGAGTTGCAGAAGGCCTTGATGTACCATATTGTGGGCTTTGTGGTGGTCGTGAGCCCAGGATTGAGAGAGATGATGGCCATGATTATCAGATTCTACGAGCATTTTCTTCATTCAGTATCCTGGAAAAGGTCCTTTTCTTTGGGAGCATGAGCATGGGCAAGAGAATACATTTCTCCTGCTATGCTTTCCAAGGTTGAGGTGGCCAACTTCTTGGAACAGAAGCCTGGTGGAATTGTGGAAGCCTTCGGGGAGTTCATTGCTCCGGGCTCTGTGCCCAAGGTGAGACCGGCACAGGGAAGGGGATGTGATGATAGGGCCGGTATATATAGAGGCGAAAGTGGAACATGTGGGCAGCAACGTTTGTCCATTTTTCTTTTTCTGTGGCTGTTTGACTGTTTGACCATGTTTGAGCTCTCCAAGGATTGAAGATCACGAGAAGATGTCTGACGGTCGTTTGTGGAAGCATAAGATCCTTATGGCGCTCCTGTTCAAACAAATCCCAAGACTTTGGACGGAATTGCTTGGATTATTCTTTTTCTCTCAGAAGCGGTCTTGCGAGTGGAACAATTCGAGGAGGACATGGGATGATGTGCTGTGATGCATCAGCAACACAACGAACCTCGAATTCACATGGTTCAATGGAGGGCCCTATAAAAACGGATTCCATGGTTCACATGGTGCTTCCACGCGCCCTACTGGGAACCGGCATGACATCCATGAAATGCACTTCAGACTCCGAGCGCCATATGCATGCCACGGGGATGCACATTAAATATCAAGAACCCCCATGAATAGTCTTCTTGAGATTCAAATATCTTGAGCCACCAAGAACTGATCAAATATTTAACACTTGTTTGTGTGAGTCAGCGGAATGCACGAAACTGATACAGTCGCTTCCTTACAAGCACCGCCTTCACATCGGGTTCTGGTGGGGCACCCTCGACTCCAGGTGGCCCCGCCCGTGCTGCCGGGGGCGCCCAGGGTGCCGACTCCTCCAAGGTTGCCGGTGGGAGAGGCGCCCTTCGGGTGGGTTTCAATACTGAGATGAATCTCCCGTTCACGGGCAAAACTGAAGGTGGGATGGTGGGTGACTTGGGTCAGCCACGCCCCAATTTTCACCACCAAACCCATTCGCCTGCTGCTAGCGGCTAGCGATGCTAGCCTGCCGAATCCTGCCACGCTCAGCGTGGGCGTACGCAAATGGTAGCGGTGGGAAATCCGTGTCGTACTCCCCAGTTCGTTCGTGTCGTGCGATGTGATGTTCGTGTCGGGTACTGGCAGGCGACAGTTGGGAGGAACATGGGTCTCACCATGCTTTGGTCTCACTGCTGCCGCCTTTGCAGGAGGGTGTCTCTGAAGAGAAGTTTTTGAAGGTTCTGCGGCAGCTCAAGGCGCTCCGATGGGTTCGGGAGTTGATGAAGACTTTTCTCCCCAGCCAAGCTCCATAGCGATGTGATTGGTGCTTGGTTGTTCTGTACCTGTGGGGTGTCTAGTGATTCTAGTGGATGTGGAGTAAAGAGGGTATGCCAGGCCGATTTGCTACAGTGAGGCGTTTCCTGACATCACCCGATTCAGTCCACATTGAGTGCGACAGCCAGACGTCCAGAAGTGTGGATGCGCCAGACGTCGGTCGTCGTTTGCAGATGTTTGTCTCGATGTGTCGAGCACCGTGCTTAGCTGCGCTGCGCATAGTGCTAGCTACATAGCTCCAGCAAAGTGCTGTTGACCAAAAACAAGAGCAGACCATCAAAGCCGTAGGCGCCGTAGGCTTGAGTACGCAAAATTCGACGTCACATGCTGCAGACAAGTACAATGATCATTTGGGTGGGAAGGAAACGCGACGAGGAGGCAAAAGCAGCAACCGGGAAACACAGGCACAACTGCCAAGCGGCAAGAACTGGAAAACGACATCGCTTCAAGCAGAAAATGATTGCTAAGGAACAATATCCATACACAATAACAGTTTTGAAGACATTCAACGTAGCACCACTCCTCCTCCTGGCAGGTTCTAGAACACATCGGCGAGAGCCACGCTTTGATGCTTGACGATGCGCAGATGGAAGGGTTGTCGTGGGCGGCAACTCTGTTTGTCTTCTATCTTGAGGGCGTGCTCACTGGTTTAGCCCATGCAGTGTTTCAACATTGACATGTCAGTGAAGTGTGCTGTGTTTTTAACAGTGAAAGGAAAACCAGTTGTTGCTGATGCGCATAAGGTTGGACAGTTTTATCCCTTTCAACTTGAACCTCTTGTTTTGGTCAAGCATGAGTGTTGTGAGTTGTGAGTCCTTCCATCCTGCTCGGTGACAAGTGCGGTGGTCCTGTGAGGCATCATGTGTAGCTTCACCTCTTTGTAAGGACACTTCAAATCGACCAGACCTGCATGAACAATGCGCAAAAGTCTCACGTGTTGTTCACCACTTGTTCCTGACCTCTCCATTTGACTCCAAGGATGATTCATTCTGCTCTCAAGCCTTTTGCCATGGAGGACGGCAGGTTCTTCGGGCACCGAAAGGTCGGTTCTTCCCCTGGTGGAGACATCCTGGTTTCAACACGATAGAACTAAAACCTGCCGTTGGAATAATCCACCAGCACATTTATCTTGATTATTAGGTTTGTTGCTGTTTGTCAAGGTTTGTTCAACAAAAGACTTCCTCAACAAAATGCATGAATGAAGTCACTATGACTATGAATCATAGAACTTGGGTCAAACACCCCATCCCAAAACCACATCTAATACCCTTTTCACACATGTTGCAAACCATGTGCAGGATTTTGTCAGGAGGCTGCAGGAGGAGCACCGCGTAGCCAGCGAGATGAAGAAAAGACAGAAGGAAGATGCTGAGAGGACGGATGCTGGGACCCCCCACCCTCATCCGCTGACCCAGCCGCCAGCAGCCGTCAAAAGCCCACCCTCATTCGTCGAGTCACTGACTCAGCTCTTTTGCTTTACCCAAAGGCCCTGACACTATGCCCTCAAAGCCCATTGGATGGTGACTGCCCACTAAGATTCAGGCTTTGTTGCCTTCTCTCGACAGTTTCGGTTTCCCTTGCGGACACGCACCACTTGGGTATGGTACGACATCCAGGTAGGCCTCACGAAGAAGATCCCATCCAAGTGAGCCTATTGGACAGTGGCCCATTTGGATCATGTGGGCATATATATATATATATGTTGTGCATGTATTGGTTCTTGCAAGCGACAGAGGCATGAGAAGGAACGGCGCCGCCGCTTGGCAGAATCCTTGAAGATCGACAGCCGACCCCGGGCGGAGAAGGACCGATGCACTGGCTGCACGGGGTGGTCTGCTCTTCAAAAGACAAGTGTGACACATATCTCTAAATGAACATCGCGTGGAACAAGGGTGAGTGGACAGTGACATGCAAGGAGGCCCAACCCAGGAAAACCATCGGTAGAGGCCTTTCAAGTGCAGCATGTTGCATGGTAGATGCAGGTTTGGAACAGATCACCACGCCCAGCCCTGTGGTGTTCCTCGGAGTCCGTTCTGAAAGCTTGTTTTTGCAGGGCTGAAAGCGTTCACAGAGTTTTCACTTTGTACAGTAGAGCCGCTTGGACACCCGATGCCCTCCCGTCGCGTCCGATAGCCCTCCCTCCGTGTCTGGCGTCATGCGACTCCCTGAGCCCAGATGGCGGGCTCGGACCATGGAGCGATCGGAGATGGGATATGACTGTGTATTTAAAGGGGGAGACACCCAACAAATGGGTAGACGGGTGATGTTTTCATTCTTCCCGGAGCTTTTGAGGCCATAGCCATTCTAAAGGACGAACCATGGTTGTAGGGACGCCCAGTCGCCGGCAGGAGATCAAGGCTTGGTTGGAACAGGCCTCCCAGATGGAGGCCCGAGGAGAGACGTTGGTCTTCTGTCAGTTGGCCATGTCAAGTAAAAGACAGTCATTTTTTAAACATGTCCTTTTTCAATCTTCTTCCAAAGAAGCTACGTTCGGGGCTCCTGGCATCGCTACTAGGAGCAAGGATGCTACTAGGGGCTCCTGGCCGTACTAGGAACAAGTAGCTACTAACAAGAAGCCGCCAGGAAGCAACTCTGGTGACCGAGAAGTGGGCACGTTTGGCGCGCGCGGACCACCGAGTGGGGGTGGTGAAAAACCGGTCAAAGACCAGTTTGGTGAGGAATTATTCGGAATCATTCATGTGATGATCATGGACACCTTGCGTATTTTCAGGGTCGTAATCTTGTGTCGTAGACCACTTGTATGGTCATTTTCTACCTCTACGACGTCAACGACGTCAACGCAGAAAGATCATCGGACCCATTTCTTGGAGCAGGACCCAGAGCAGGCCCCATGGGGGTTACAAGTCTCCATCGACGAGTCTCTCGTCGTTGCTGAGGCTCTGGCGAGTCGAAGACGCAACTTCGGGATTATGCCTGAGGCCCTGAGGAGACACCTGGAGGCGAAACGAGCATCGGAGACACCTGTTTCGGCTTTCCAGCCTGGCCGAAACAATCAGTTGAAGGAAGCATGACTTGAACACGCGGTTGGAGTTTTTTCGTCCTGCCCATGTGGTTGGGTTGACAGGGTAGCACCCTGTTTGTCCGGTGCAACGCACCGCCATGGGTCGGTTTGTCTTCCACTCGTCTTGCGGTTTGCTCCCCTTGTTGTGTCTGCGGCATTTACAGTGCTTCGACTGGGTCAGACGAGTTCCAACCACCTCAGACGGCTCTTTCAGAATGTCGCCACTGCAAGTGCGCCATGATGGACAAGCAAAACCTCCCGTCCGAACGACCCGAACGAGTCCGATGCCACGGTTGGTCGCTCGTGGGTGCCACCTTGAAATCAGCGTTTTGCAGGGTCGATCTTTTCCAAGCGCGTGACAGATCGGATGGTTGTTTCAAATACCAACAGATTTCTCATGAATGATCATGTTCAACCGTTCAACCGTATTTTTTCCATGTGGAACAGTCATCTATGTTTTCTCATTTTCTGTTCGTTGGGTCCTTGGCCTCGAGGTCTCTGTCCTGGAAACCTTGATCAAGTCCAAACGGGCAAACATCGAGGAGTGCGCACTCCGCTGCAGACGTGTTTGACGTCAAAAAGCGTTTGGTGATGTTTTGTGTGAAAGTGTTTGTCCAGTCACAGCTGGTTTGATGGGAACTGCAACTTCTTAAAGGCTCTTTCTAAAATTACCGCTCATGATATGTCGGCTTCAGGGTATTTCTTGGCCTCACCTCTTCGTCAAGATGACCCAAGTCGGTGGCTTTGGGACGAACAAGACTCTGTACAAAGGTCTATATATATCATCCTCCTTTTCCTCTTCGCCCTTTCACACGCTGTGCGACAGCGCGACAGCGCACTGCCTCATCACGTGCAGGAGTTAAGACTGCGGCTGGAGCGAAATGGTGCGGGAGACTGGGGGCACTGAGCCGGGCGACCGGGCGAAACGTCAAGGTGCGTGGTGGTTTCCTTTTGGATTTTGTCTTTGTATGTCAGGCGTAGACGAACGGACCAATATGGTAGGTACAAGAACTTCGACGGGTCTTTTTCTTCGACTTCCTCACTCGGAACGGATCGGTCTGACGGTGAGAAATCAGCTGCCCCACCAACGTCGGGCAAGACCATGCAAGACCCGATACTCATAGCAAGCGAATTGCTGATATCTGGACGAAAGGCCCTGGTGATGTCCGAACAGAAGCACGCCCCTGAAATGAACCAACGGCCTAACTGCCTCGGGTACCAACTTGTGCTGTCAGAAGCACGCCTTGTCAGGCGAAAGAAAAGGACATCAATGACATGTCTGATGGTCAGGAAGAATGAGCGACCCATCACCCTCACCCAAGGCCGAACGAGGCAGCCTCTCTTTGTGCCTCTCCGCATCGCCAGGTGTTGCGGAAGCGCCCCGAATTCCCGCAGGCGACGAAGCTGGGTGATCCGGGAGACTTGCTGGGATGAAGGCATGGCAGGGGATTGATAGACAATTCGAATTAAAGTACTTGGTCCACCAGGCTCCCCCGGTGTTGACCCACAACCAAATGAACGCTTCTGACTGAAGTTCGGAACAGTTTTTCCAAAGACTCTTCTCGATCTTCATGTTTTTCATCAAAGCAAATGCTCAGGAGAGAGGCACTTGATTGACAGCTCTGCCAGCCCTAGCAAGCCTGAGCACCCAGAGCGTATGTTGGATGCCATGAAGTACTCCTAATTTCTCTCTGTTCAATCATTGAAGTCGCAGGAAAGTGTGACAGCTCAGTCCAGAGCAGGATCATGCTGAAGCCACCTCCACCTCCCGGAGGTTTGCATGACTTCCTGCACTCCAACAAATGAAATGACAATTCAAATTGCTTTGTTTATTTTTTCTATTGAATTGAAGCTAAACAGACTGTTTTTCTGCTACACTGCCGGGCGTTGGTCCAGGTTAGTTCCATCATACTTCATCACTTAACATGTCAATCCCTTACAGAGCAGGGTTGGACCCTGGAAGGAACAGATGGTGCTTTTCTTTTTTAAAAAGAGATTCCTTGAACCCCTCTCAGACGCGCCGGCCATCTGAAAGCAAGAGCTTCATCTTCCGGCTGATCCTGCGACCACGTCGATCACGTCGACCTCGCCGGTCCCTCCCAGGCTGGCGCCGGTGCCCGGCCGCAAGCTCCACGCGGCGGTCGCTCCGGCGGCCTCGCCCGTGGCGCACTCGCCCGCGGCGTCGCCGGCGTCGCTGCGTGGGGGAACTCAGGCGGGGAGAGACCTCCGAGTGGGAAGAATGAAGAAAGATCTTAGAAGAGTGAGATGATGTGAGGTGGTTTTAACTTGGACTCTTGGGTCTTGTTTGTGTGTCAAGAGGAAGCTGTTTGAGCCTGGAGGCCTGGAGTGTCAACCTAGAATTCAATGTTGGAAGACGTCAGGTGAATGTGAGCTGTAGCAAACGCAGGCTTCGTCACACATGTGACCACAGGTTGGATGGAGGCTTCATCACACATTGGGGGACAACAGGTTTCCAATGCGCTCAGATCACCTTCCGGGAAGCCGTCGGACTTTGAGACGAGAAGAAGCTCCCACCATGTTTTGCTGAGGCCCTGATGACACCATGTGCCTTGGCACTGAGTAGTACTTGGTCGCATCCCCGTTGGCCCTTGTGCCGACCAACGGCAGTTTGTTCTTCCTCCGGGCCGAGCACTGCAGGCACTCGGAGCACCGCACCATGCAGGCCGAGCGGCTCCTGCAAGCCGCGGCCCACGGGCGGCCCACGGCGGTGCAGAGGCGGGGGAGGGGTGGAAGAGGGCCACCAGTTGGAAGCGTGACCTGGCATCAGAGGAGTTAGCTTGAAGGAATATGGTTTCTCCTTTGTGTCAATCAGGTCTGTTACTGGCCAAAAGAATCCCAAATCCAAAGACCCTCATACCGAATCCCCTACTAGTGAAGAACAGGCGCAACGAAGCATCTCAACCGCCAAAACCGCCGAAACGGCAACGGCCAAAATGGCCAGGTGCCTCACCAGCCGTGCCGACATCAACGCCGTCGCGTGGAGCGGAGCCATCAGCCAAGCGTACTGTTCGTGACCACATTTTGTTGGAACTCATGACATTTTACCACATCTTTGTGTGAATTCTTAATTGCTGCATCTCGCCTGCCTCGTTCCTTTCCTTTCCCTTTTATTCCTTTCACTCGCTCACTCCCTCACACACTCGCTCGCTAGCTCGCTCGTGACAATGTGTTCACCTTACTTCACGCCTCCGCTCACCATCCTTCCGAATGCTTACTTCATTTGCTGTCACTTCTCTTCCTTCTCTTCGTAGGATCTCATATGGCAGTCTCATATTTGTGTGCTGACGTGTGTGTGCTCACCTGTGTGCACTCACATGTGTTTGCTCTCAGATGCGTGCCCTTGCATGTGTGCTCTCTATTGCATGCTCTCGCATGCGTGGTGCATTTGTTGTGCTGAACACTATTTGGGGTATCTCGTCGGGACATTTTTTTTTCTATATCATATATTGTCATGTGTTCAAGGTTCTTGACCTGGAAGGAGATGCCTCTCATCAAGCGAGGTTCTGCTGACGCAGTGTTGTCGGCTGTGGCTTTGCTGCGTTTTGCTTTCGTTTTTGCAGCAAATGCTGGACCCTCCAAAACGACCAGCTCGAGAGGGAACTGGGCTACCGCGCTTGTATATATTCTGTATATATAAAAATAAATATATGCTAGCCCTCCTACTACCATATATATATATTGTTGTTTGTCAGTGTTAAGGCCAGTTTGTCAAAGAGATCCCGAGTCCCAGCGTCACGTTGTTGCATTTGGCATAGGTGGCCCACGGTGCGGCAAAGTTGCCGTTTGGAAACCGGAAACAGCGTGCGTTTGTATGTACATGAATGCTCGAATTACGCTTGTGATGCCGCATGAGTGCTCGGCAGAAAATTGTTTGTGTTTTGTTGTGACTCAATGCCATTCAACAGGTACCAGGTAGCATGCGTCTCCAAACACTTCTGCCATTTGTCCTGCTTGCGCGCAGCAATGAGCCCCTGAGTCCATTGATGATGCTGGAGATTGCCAAACATGTGGGTAGAAACCCGCTGAGAACTGTCTTATTAATCGTCCCAACCGAAGATAGAGAAAGATGGAATTTATATTTATATAATTTAATATAACTCATATAACCCTTTCTATAACGCTTGCATTTCATAGTTAATAGTTATCGTTACTTCGCTTTCCTCGAAATCTCCAGCTTGATAAGTGCAGTTCTATTGTGCGGTCCGGACCTACTTCACGCCTGGTCACTCAACTCTCAGAATGCAACTCACCCAACTCAGCCCACACAACTCATTTCTCACAACTCAACTCACTCAGCTCACTCGACTCATCTGACACATCTCAACTCACGCATCCGCGTCCGCCTCTTCGGCATGCTTCGTTAAAAGGACGTACACTTCATTAACATGTTCTTCTGCCCCTTGGATTTTCATGTTGACACTGATAGCTGGTAGAATGGTTCTCATCATGTTTCCTATTCTATACTGTACTTGTTAGTTTTCCATACAGAGCAGAATTGCTTTTGGCCAGTTCACCGATTCAGGTCACGGCCCTGATGTGTGCTGCGCGGCATGGGCGTTTGGAGGCGTCGAAAGGAGGTGGATTCAAGGTCTACGTCTGGCGTCAAACATGGGGATGTCAAAACACATTCTGGGCCGTGGATCAAACGATGTCAACGGAAAAAACTCCATCAAGCAGCTTAAGACGATGCCAAGAAAAGAATAGTGGACCCTACTTTGATGAAACTATGAGAATTTGTCATGATGCATGCTTTGATTGAGGTGGCCCAACTTCTTCTGGAAAGTTCGGCAGATCCTGCATGGAGCTCAAGAACACTCCACGTGACTTTCCATGCTTGCGACGTTGGACGGTTGCCCCCACCCGGGATACTTCTCCTTCTGCCTATCTTGGACGCAGAGAACTATGGGTTCCTCGAAGATGGAAGCGAAAACGACCTCGTCGCCATGGACTTGAACCGCGTCTCCTTTTCGCCTGAGGTGCGCACAGACATGCTTGGCCGCACGGCCCTTGTGGCCACCCTAGGTGATTTCTGGTGGGCCTGGACTTTCCAGATGTTCTTTGAAGCGTTCTTTGAAGCAAGAAGCTACTAGGAGCAAAGGGCATCGCTACTAGGAGCAAGGACGCTAGTAGGGGCTCCTGGCCTGGCCTTACTACTAGGAGCAAGGGCGCTACTAGGAGCGTGGCGTGGTGTGAAGGTGCCTTGTCTGGTCTTCGTTTGGTCTTCCAAGGACCATGCCCGTCGCCAGCCTGCCCATGTGCAAGAGTGGTGCCCCTTGCGAGTTGGAACCGTGGGATCGAGGTGGCAAGATGTACATGCAGTATTCTTGGAGACACCCGCTGTAATCTTCGTCCCATTTTTCGGAAAGGTCATTTGCATAGTCAGATGAGTCGGATGTATAGTCGTTCTTATTGCTCAGGTCCTGTTTTGTAGACTAAGATCAAGCACAAGACGAAATCAAGGTGGCACCTCTGACTTCCGGCCTTCTGAAGCCAACCTGAGGCTTCGGGGGCATCGCGTGCTCGGGCGCCAGGAATTTGCCGCTCGGCCGAGCTTGCCGTGGGGCCGTTGATGACAGCTTTCTAGCAAGAATAGTAGCTTGAAAAAGGAAGCATGCCTGCGTGCGAGCGCCAGTCGATTATAGTGCAGCAGAAAAGTAGCATCGAGACACTGGAGGCAGACCAACCCTACCCACCCAGTCACGATCCTAGTCAAACTGGTGGGACAGCGGGCATAAACATTATATATAAACATATATTTTATAGATGATTTAAATTGGTTGGCCATGACTCACAGCCGGTAGAAACAAGATCGTGAACATTTGTCAAATCTGTGGGAAGCAAGGCTGCGCACCAACGAAACACATGTTTGTTGAACCTCAAGCCACTACTCTGCCCAGCGAGCTGAGGAGAGGATGGTTCAGGTGCGCAAGGGCCGATTGGGGAGTTGCTGCTGAGAAAAGAGCATTTGAGAGATAGAAACAAATCATCCTTAACAGGGCATTGTGGATCGCTGGTCTGCACATTTGTTCTTCAAAAGTTCATTTTGTTTCTTCACCATGATTCGCAGCCATCCCCGCATCAAGGACACACACAAACACACAGATGGAAAGAGCCATTGGGCTGCAACTCTGCGGGGGGAATGAGGTCAGGTCATTTTTCGCTTCCTTGTTTCCTGGAAGCTCCTTTGTTGTGACCAAAACCTGAGAATTCTTCCAGTTTCGCTGCAACAGCTCACAAACGAAAGGGACTTTCCTCATCGGCTGGACAGGCTGAGACTCAAAGAAACTCTCCATGTGCTGTGCCATGCCTCCTCTCCTAGCGGCCGCAGAGCGATCGCTTGCATGGTCAGAGTCCCAGTCACTCAGAATCGGGACGGATCAGGGGTGCGATGACATCCTCAATCTGCACACACAAAGTCGGGAGCAGATGACCGGCCCATCCGGCATTTCCTGTGCGTTTCATGATTGTTGCGTGTTGCGTTCCGAGTTTGGAGGGAGGCGAACCCAATCCCTCGAACCAAAGCTTTGAGGAGATGCAGATCATGAGGCTTCGATGGACCAGGACGAAGCTGCTTACCAACACCCAATGCCTGACAAACGTTGTGGGGGGGTCGGCAGATGTTTGGTGTAAATGGTCGAAAACAGACCGCTAGTTAGCAAGTTTGGCTCACTCTTCCTGCAGTTGGACCAAAAGATTCAGTTATAGATACTATATATATATATGTATATATGTATACTGTGTATTTGTATAGGCTGGCTCAAGGCTCAAGCCATTTCTGCTCAAGAGTCAGCGCCTTTCCACTTGCCACGACGTCTTCTTCGGCACTGGCGCTTCGCCCCACCTACACGTCTTCCTGCCGGCCACCCCTGTCGAGCCCTTTGGCACCTGGCATTGCGCTCGGGCATGACGTGGATGCGGGCATATCAATGCTGTGGCAAAGCCGGATGTCATAACTGGATCTGGGAGGACCGCATTCAGGCCAACTTCACTTGCCGCCTCTGTGGTACTCCGTGGAAGAAGCCTCAGCATGGCTTTGCACCAGCTCGAGACGATCGCCCATCCACCTGGAGCAAACACCGTTCTCACAGGGTGTCACCGCCTCCGGGTCTCACCACGCAAAGGCCGCCTCGTTCGTCCAAGCTTCAGAAGACAGCATCCGAGATCCTTGCACCGGCATGGGACTCGCTGGATGAGGCCCTCAGGACAAAGCTCGCTCAAGTGGGCATCAACCCTATCCAGAAGGTTGTGGAGCCGGACTTGACAGATGTCCTCAAGGAGAACCTGGCCAGTCTGCCAGCTCCCGTCAAGGAACTGGTTGAGAAGATCACCAAACCTCAGCCCGAGACGGAAAAGGACATGGCGACCAGGCTCAAGCAGCAAGTTACCACCCTGCGGGACATCTCTCAAAAGAAGCAGCTCCTGCAGCAGAAGATCGACAACACCAAGAAGCACTACCAAGAGCTTTTAGATGAAATGAAGTCTCTGCAGAGCAAACTTGAGCAGGAACAGGCATCCCTCAACACCATCAGCACGGCCTACCTCACCAAGGTCAGTTCCTCCCAGGCTGAAATGCCTCTCCAACCTCTCGAAACCGGGATGGATGATTCTGTGCCCGCCGCAGTGGCAGGCTTCATCAACACTCTTGGAGTCAGCCTCACTCAGGAACAAAAAGACCAGCTGCATGTCATGCTCAAACGTCCTTCGGTTGATGCGGAAGTCACAGACGAAGAAGCCAAACGCCGAAAGACAGAACTTGGCAACACTGCGTCGTGTGGGTAGCCCTTTGCTGTCATTGGCATCTCCGGGTTTTTCTCTATCCCATCGGGAATTTCCGTCATGCATTTCAGTCCATGACATGGGGCCTTCTCAACTGGCTTGCAGGGGACATGCACTCTCAGTTGATCCTTTGCTTTCAGGCTCAAGATCGGGCCTTTCTTCATTTGGGGCGGGCTATGGTCCGTGCAGACAGCCCTTGAGGAAACTCAAGGTTTTTGGAGGGGCTCAAACCTCTCACGAGGGTCTGGGCGACTGGGCAGCAGGGGCACCGTGCTCTTCTACTTCAGAGCAGCTCCCCAGGGAGACTGCTGTCCACGGGACCTCAGCTGTCCAGTCTTTGGCCCGCCTCCTCAACATGGAGGGAGAGGATGACCATCCCTTCACTTTTGAACAGAAAACTCTTTTTGATCTTTGCAGCAAAGACTTGACCACTTCGTGTCAACGCTATGGCAGAAACCCTACTCTGCCCAGGGGGCATCAGCTTCTCATGGACCTCAAGCGGATGCAAAACCTCATTCAAAGCCACCTCAGTGTTCCAGGGGAAGTGGATCACACGGTGGCTAACATTTTTGTCGTCTCTCAGTGCCTCACTTGCATCCTGCAAAACCCCAGGAACCTTTGCTATGGCAATGCACCCTGGAGGTGTTGGTGCTGGACAGGGGCTTTTGCAGATGATGTCGCCCAAGCTTGGGGCCACACTACCAAGGCGGTGCGCCATTATCTGTCCGAGAATGAGCCACAGCTTCTCCCAAGTCTTCCGGGCATGCAACACATTTGGGCCCAGTTTGACCAGGACCACCAAGCTGATGCTGTGGACTTCCTTCACGCCTTGTGGACCTATTCGGGCAGTTCCTTCTTTGCTGGGCGCTTCTTCCATCGCAGTGAGAGGGGGCACACTGAGGAGCGGGAACAATTTCCCTTGAACTTCATCTTTCCGGATGGAGATGGACCGATCACCTTGGATACCCTGGTCAACTTTTGGGCCGACGAGGGTCAGGGCCAGTTCCTGTACGGCTCCCCAGGAGGAGTGGTGATCAACCTCCAACGCTCCACCTTGCACGAAGGCACTTGGACCAAACATCACCGTGAGCTTGAGATCGACACCAAGGTCAACCTGCCCTTTTCTGAAGATGGATCTCATGTCCACATGGCCAAGTACCATGTGGTGGCCCTGGTGCTTCATCAGGGTGCCACTCACGAGAACGGGCACTACCAGACCATACTGGCCATCGACAACATCTACTGGCTTGCTGATGATGGGACTTTCCCATCTCCTCTCCCTCAACTCACTTCTCAGCAACGCCGAGAGATCTCTCAGATCTGGCTCGTAGCTGCTCCTACGGATGAATTGGTCCCGGACACAGCTATTGAAGTGGCCGAATCCCTACCGAAGAAACCGCGCTTTTGCCACGAGACTCTCCACATCACCTTCAGCAACATCACCTTCTTCGGGAAAAAGGTCCAAGATTGGGTCTGGACACAAGGCGACACCATCATGCTCTTCCAGGAAACTCACCTCCAAAGGAAAGCCCTGGACACCACTCTGCAGTACTTCAACTGCCGGGGCTGGAAATGTCATGGTGTGGAGGCTGAACCTACAGGCAACGGAGGCGCCACCGGGGGCTTTCTCACCTTGTTTGCCACCAGACACCTCATCCATCACGTCCACACCTACACCAAGCAGGGCAATGGTTGGACAGCACTGGTAATGCAAAGAGAAGGCCTGGAGATCTATCTCATCCAGCTCTACCTGCGCACTGGGGAACCGCTTCAATCCCCGCTCAATGCCGATCTTCTGGGGCAACTTTTGCAATTCCTTGATCACCTTCAGGCTCCTTTCATCATTGGCGGTGATTGGCAGACAGCTCCTGAAGACCTAGCGGCCACCACCATTCCCAGCAAGTTCAGGGCTCAGATCTTAGCTACGCCAGGGCCGACCACCTTGCAGGGCAGTCAACTGGACTTTATCTTGGCCTCCACCTCTATCGCCTCTGCTCTTCGTTTGGAAGCCGATTGGGAAGTCCCATGGAAGCCACACTGTGCCCTGGCTCTCCACTTTGACTGTGCTCAAGCAGCGGTTGCGGTACAACAACTTCAACGGTTTCCGCCCATCACCCGGAACTACCACCCCAAGCATCTCTGGACCAGCTTCACCGAGGAGGATGGCCCCTTCCACATCCTCGGCCAGACCATCACGGGCCTAGGCTCCGACCTAGCCCGGTGGGCCACCCAAACCGAGAAGTACCTCACCCAGCACTTGACCAGGCCTGTTACTGGCCGCGGATCCCAGATCCAATTGCGTCTGGCCCCTCTTGCCAGCTCCACCAAACCGAGAGTCTGGAAGAAAGGAAGTGCTGCTTTTTGGGAGAAACTTGGCATCAAGATCAACCTGGCACAACATGGCCGCTACCCTGGTTTGCTTCAAGATCTCAAGGACATGGCCACGAGAATCTCACAGCATGCCTCCCAGGACCTGGATTGTCACAGCTTTGAGGAACGGCTGCTCCAGTGGATCTTTGGTGGCGACCCGGATCCTTCAGACCTCCTTCAACGTGTTCAACATGAGCTTCAACTTGCTCAAGAGCAACTCCTCAGTGCCACCAATCATGAATTCAGGGAATGGCTGGAAAAGGCCCATGACAAAGGTCTCAGAGGACTCTTTCGCAGCCTGCGTCAGAAGGACCATGCCTGGCAACGTCCCTTTCAAGACTTGCCATCCACCTCTCGCATCCACGCCAGGGAACAGCAATGGGGCGACATCTGGATCCCGCGAACTGAACCGTTGCCAATCAGAGGCCTACCTGATCTCAAGCGTGCTGCCCAAGCACACGCCCAGCAGACCAAGGCCATCGATTCCAGCCTTCTTCAGAAGTTGATGCGAAGACTCCCCAACAAAGCAGCGGGGCCGGATGGCATCTCCTATGACTTTCTTCGCCACCTACCCTACCCTGCGGTGGAAAAGCTGGCCAGTCTCCTCACCGAGATGGAACAGGAAGCCGAACTACCTCTACAGCTGAGGCATACCAACATTGTCATGATCCCCAAGAACGAGCGCATTGAGCGGCCTATTGCTCTCACCTCTTGCATCTACCGGCTTTGGAACAGCTATCGCAAGCACGATCTTCACAAATGGCAGCTCGGCCTG